TTACTGAAGAAAGCAAGTTACAGAATGGTACAATGAAATCGTCACGCATGACAAAGGTGGTGACGGTGGCTAACTTTGTCAGTGAAAGAGAAAAGAAGGCAAGATGAAATTTGAACAGGAGATTAGGGTAATCTTAGGAAATATAAGTTCATTTCCATTTAATTTTTTAAAGATTTATTTACTTTTATTAGAAAGGCAGATATACAGAGAGTAGGACAGAGAGGAAGATCTTTCATTCAATGATTCACTTCCCAAGTGAGTGCAACGGCCGGTACTGCACCAATCCAAAGCCAGGAGCCTGGAACTTCCTCTGGGTCTCCCACGCAAGTGCAGGAACCCAAGTCTCTGCACAGTCCTAGACTGCCTTCCCAGGCCACAAGCAGGGAGCTGGATGGGATTAGAACTGGCACCCATATGGGATCCTTGGGTGTTCAAGGTGAGGACTTAAGCTCCTAGGCCATCGTGCCAGGCCCTCCATTCAATTTTTAAAAAGGACGTATAAATGTATTATGTCTTGTTTAAATAAACACATATAATAGTTTTAAAATTCAGTGTATAAGAGTAATGATTATTTAATTGAAAAAAATTTCAAAATATTTTGCTTTTTGAAAAAAATGAATAAATTTGGTTTATAACATATTAATATGGCTAGACAAATCACCAACAATTTTCCAAGATAAATTGGAAAGAAGTTTCAAAAAGCATATCCATAAAAACTATGACATGATTTTTTTTTAGTGAAGAAGAAATTAATAATGAACATAATATCAACTATACTTGGATTACTATAACACTAGGGTTTCATTAAAATCATGATTTAAATAGAATATTTTAACTTAAAATATGCTGCAATATTTAAAGCTTCTGAGTCTTTAAATGGAGTCTCTTCTTCTGGAAGTGGTCTTTTTCTCTAGACTTGTGTGACATGTTTCTGTCATTCTCTTCTGTATTTTTTCACTGTCTTGGCTACTTTTGATCTCATCTTTCCCTCTACCTACCTTGCAATTTCTCCTGTCCAAGGAATCCCACTCATCTGTCTCCTGTGTTTCAAAGGTACATTTAGAGGCAATATTTTGAACTTTTTGACTTCAACTAACATCTTTACTCTAGCTTTAGAATCCTACTTATTTTTTTTTATGATAGCCAGATAAACATTACCCCACAATATGACTCCTACACCTTAAGTCTCAGATATGCAGCTGAAATATCAGGGAACTTCTCACTGTCTACTCTATTATCTAAACCATCACTTTGAGCCTGTTTTTGACTTTAAATTTTTATATAGATTATAAATTGTAAACAATTATAACTTTGGCTTTAACTTACAGTACACAGCATTTTAACTTAAATCAGGACTAATAATGCTAAGCAAAATTTTCTGTACTGGCTGACCTATCAAAAGAATAATATTTCCAGATCAATTTAGAAGCAGAAGAAAATCCCCAGCCATATGCAACTGCCAAGGTTGCTTTGTATTTAGGCAAGTGTGACACTGCTGGGAGAAAAGCAACCCATACTTGGCTGGAATTCTTGGCTTGGTTCATGTCAACTCAATGTTGTCCCAGTGTGGTTATTCTTTAACATTAAATCTGCAAGATGGAGAGTGGGCCACCATCTATGGAAGCTGAGCTTATGAGCACTGAGGGCAGAGCCTATGACTGGCCTGAGCCAGTGCCACCTGCTCGTTGGGGTCTTTGGGCAGGGTGGGGGCTACTGAGGGATTTTGATGTTAACAGAACTACAGCCATAGTTCTCCCTGAGCCAGGATACTGCATGCACCAGTGTGCAAGAGGGCCAGGGCTGGGGTTAGCTGGGCCATAGGCCTAAAGATTCAGTGTGCCAGGGTTCCTTGGGCCAGGCTGCCATACAACCTAAATGACTAATGGCTTTTGGCAGAGCAAGCTGTTCCTCTTTTAATCTCACGCTGGTATCAGGCACTCCAGGGTCTCTGATCTCCGGGATCAGAACCCATGGATATGTGGTCTGGCCTTGGTATACACATTAAGTGTTTGGGACACTTCCATTGCTGACTCCTGTGCAAAGAAACCAATAACATCTCAGAGTAATAATGAAGATGTGGATGACATAAGCTGGTGCTGTGGTTTACGTCAACTGGGCCATATCATTATGGTTCTTACGCATGCCAATGGGTGCAGCATCCTAGCCCAGCCTGGCCTGTCCCTAGACTGGCCCACCTCCAGTGCCAGCTCTCATGTTCACCAATGGAAACTGAAGCGCAGCTCAGGAGTTTTCAAAGTTCCTCTACCAAGTCTGCTCCCAGCTCCAGGTCCTACATGTGTCAGCAGGTACTGTCACAGTCCAGTCTGAGATGGCCTGTCCCATCTCGACATTCACCAGCAGGTGCTGCAGCCTGGCTTTGCCTGATCTGCCCTGCCCTGGTCCCAGCTCTTGCCAGTGGATGCAGCAGCCTAGCCCAGCCTGGCCCACCCCCAGCCCTCATGTGAGCTGGTGGATATTGTGGTCCAACCCAGCCTGGACTGCACTCTGTCCTGACTTTCACAATACAGTGTGTGCTGACCCTGCCTGGCTCATCCCCAGACCCAGCTCACAGAAGATACAGCCTAGCCTTGTCTAACCTACTCCCAACCCCAGCTGTCACACACACCAGTGGGAGCTGTGCCTAGCAGGGGAGTTCCTCAAGTTCTCCTACACAACCCACTCCTATCCCTGGATCCTGTGTGTGCTGTCTGGTGCTGCTGCCCAGACTGACATGACCAGCCCCCAATCCTGGCACTCAACTAGTGGGTACTGCAGCCTAGGCATCTGGCTTGTATCCATTCTGGCTTACACTGTTGGGTGCTACAGCATAGATCCACTTGGCCCAACCCCAGTCCTGGCTCTTGTGTGGAATGGTGGGTACCTTGGCCTAGCCCCTCTTCTCACACCTATTCTGGCTCTTGAGAGCACCAGTGGTGCTGGAACTCAGCCCAATTTGCCCCGCCCATAGTCCAACCCACATTCATGCTGATGGATGCTGCAGGCTTATATAGCCCGGTCTTCCCACAGCCCTGACTCTGATACTCACCAGTGGAAGCTATAGCCCAGCAAGGAAGACTCCAGAGTTTTCCTATCAGACCATTTCCATCTCCAAGTCTTGCGTGTGCTGGTGGGAGCTTAAACCCAGCCTGCCATGGCCCACCAGCCATCACCAGCCAGGCATGGCCCTTATCCTGTTCTGGTTCTTGTGCATGCCAGCCTGCTCTCAGATCTGGCCCATACAAATGCTGAGGAGTGCTGCAGCCTTGCCTGGCCTAGCCCACTCCCATCCCTGGCTCCCATGCTCCCCAGAGGGAACTGTGGACTAATAGGGGAGTTTCCCAGTTCCGCTACCAGGCTTGCTTCCAACTCTGGATCTCATGCCAGTGGAAACAGAGACTGTGACTGGCCATGGTCTGTCCTCAGTCCTGGCCCTTGTAAGTGTTGGCATATGCTGCAGCCTGAACACACCCACCCTTCTCCCATTCCCAAACTCAATGAGTACCAGTTGTTCTTGTCATGTCTGCTCCTTGGTATATGCTAGTCTCAGGGTGATACCAAACTCTCCCTTTACCAGATTTTCTTCTGATGCTCCAGATTCAAAACCCTCTAAGTATGTTTCCCCATTTCCCCCCTTTAAACTCCCCTGTCTTATGCAGTATGTCTGACCATTTTGGTTTAAGTTCTTGATAGTTAGGATGTGATTGTGCATGTGCAAGGGACCCTAGAGCAGAAGACTATGTGGAATGGAGCCAGAGCAAATGCAAAAGGAAAATGTAGCCAGTAGGATCAAAGAACCAAAGAAACTAGGGTACCCCCAGAGCATGAACAGCTGGAGCCCTTTCTGAAGTGAGAGTTCAGTTGAAGGGAGAAATTTGAAATTAAAAAAAAATCCCTTTTATTATACTAGTCTGAATTCTAAATCTGTTCAATCAGACCTTAACTCTCTGGGTGTTTCTGTTTAACAGCGTTCTCCTTCCCAACCTGTAAAGCTTTCCCCAGACTGCTCATCAGGAAGTAGATTTGAATCATACTCTGCTGCGTTTGCCTTCTTGTTAGTACCAAAGCCTTTTTTTTCTCAAAAGACCTGATACCACAGACATTGCTTGAGCACAGTGGGCAATGGATCTACTTCATTCATTTCTTAACAAGGGTACTTCATCATCTCTTGAATTCCCTTATTCTTTACACAATTCACTAAGCAGCTCCTCAATTAAATACTTTTCAACTATCCTTTTCAATTATGCTTTTGGTCAAGACCCTAATAGAAATGTTGGTAGTGGGGAACAGGAGAAACTTTAACTCATTATATACCAGTGTCTTACATATAGGACACTTTTATAACTTAAATTGAGCAATAAACATTTCATCTATAAAAACTTTGAAATAAATATTATGTTGTTGCAATATTTGCAAAATTGAAAACTTGGGACTTTACAGGTTAAGGTGGTGCAATAAACTGATGGGAACAGAGAGAGGAAGTAATTTTTTCAGAATTTTTGCCACATGCTGGGCATATAACATCACTTTTTTATGTAAATAGCTCTAATGAACTCTCAAATGCTTCTTAATTATTTCTCTTTGGTTGTTTTCTCTTTACATGCAGAAAAGATAGATAGGAAAAGATCATGACATGTCTGGGATTTGCATGCCTGCATATGACTATTAAGACCTATTTGGAATTGGTTATACTATCATAAGACACTTCTCTTATGTACTTTGCATCATCATTACCTCATGTATCTACTAAGTTTCAATGAAGATACAGTGGCTCATCATGGTGTGAAATTTCCATTTATTTGCAGATAGGAAACATTTTTTTGTTTTAAATGGTTCCTTTTATTTTGAATTAGAAATTAGGGGAAATAAATCACTCCTTCAGGAACCAATTATTCAATTCAGATTGCATGTTTTGTATATGTGTAACTCCAAAAGTGGACATAAAGCAAATAGATGTTGTTTGTCCATCTGTGTAATGATTTATATAGCTAAGATTTCACACATCAACTAAAATTTTCTCTGTCACCAGAATCTGTAACATCATAGCGACAAATAGGACAGGTAACGTTGTCAGCTAGCCAGCGATCAATACAGTCAGCATGATATTCGTGACAGCAAGGTAGGACACGAATCGTGTCACCTTCTGTAAATTGTGTAATGCAAATGGTACAAGACTTTGACTCATTTTCACCAGAAATTCTCATTGTCAAATTGTCAATCTGCTGTTTGTTAAGTCCTACAGGTTGGACCTCCTCTTCTTCATTTACAAGGAATAACTGAACGACATCATAGAAGGACACAGATTCACCCTCATCAATTGTTACTGGGATCCTAAATGGATTTTCTAGTGCGGCCACTGATGATGAACTTGATGATGAATTTCCTCCATTATTGCCTTCAAGCAACTCTGAACTAGTTTCTGAATTTTCAGTACTAGAGTTGGAGTTAAATGGAAGACTAGAGTAAGGCCTATACAGGTAGCGGAAGCTTGGAATGTGAGGTGCTGGGTCACTCGCATATGTACCAAAGCTACCATTTGAATCAGTTTCACCATTGTAAATGTCATCAGAATCACTGCTTTCAAACTGTGAATGTCCTGGTGCCATGTTTTGACTTGGAGAGACACTAGACTCTGAGTCACTATCACTATCCCAAAAATTACTCCGCTCACCAAATGCTGTCAGTAACTCCGTCAGTGTTCTTGGAGCTCTAACAAATGGTGTATCATTTAAATAATGATTTACATGTCTATGGACAGGAGATCTGACAGTACTAGGATAAGATCTCACTCTTGGGTGCTCAGATTGTGGAAGCATATTTTCAAATTCTTGTTCTCGCTCAGTGACAGTGCTGTCTGGTATCTCAGATAATAACTGTGCACTGTTATTTATGTGATCTCGTGGTGAAAGTTGTTCAGGATGATCTCTCCTTGCTTCACGATGGAAAGGTATGTCTGGACTTTCTGGTCTTAATCGTCCAAATTCATTACTACCCATTATGTCTGAAGGCATTTCTGTTGGAAAGACATTCCTTGGACCAAAAGCTGCAAATTGAGGGCTATTTTGGAACTCAAACCTAGCCATTTGTCTTCTCAATAGCTCACGTTGACGAAATCTTGAAAATGTCTCAAACTCATTCACCACAGGCAGCTCAAAAATTTCAGGTGATATATGATAATGAAGTCTAAGTAAGAGTTCATTCAATGTAGTCTCAGGTGGGTAATCCTCAACTCGTGCTCTGGTCCTTTGATAGTTGGGACTCCTGCTTCTTGCTCTTCTTTGACCTCTGTTTGGTGGGACGTCTGTTAAGTTTTCAGCTACACCATGTTCTGATCTGGAAGGGCCTGCAAAGGTTGACTCAGATAATGGACTTTCCACTTCCGTCTCATGATTTTGTGTATCTTCTCCCTCAGGAAATCTTCCAAATGATGCATATTCTTCCTCGGGATTTGTGGAATTCATCCCTACACTGAAACTGCTACTGCTTGCATTACTCTGACTGTCTGTTGTTGAAAACTGACTTTCTCCTGGATAACTTTCTGTCACATTTTCATTTTGTTCAAATGAAGAAGGCCAGTTTAATATAGATTCACCACTAGAAACTTCATCCGAAGTGTCTTCTCTACCTGTTACCAAAAAAGGGGAGGTGGTAAAAGAACTACCTAAGTTGGAACCATAATTAAAATAGTTTCCTAGAATTTTGTTTCAAGGAACAGAAAAAACAGAAACAAACTGAAGAAGAAGAGAGAAAGAAAGAAAGAAAGAAAAAACCCTGAAAACTTAAATGTTATGATATTTTAAGCAGCTAGAAAAGTTTAATTCCACATAGAAAAAGTGATCTAATGTTAAACAAACCAAAGAAATTGTTTCTGTAAAAATAATGTGGAAAAAAATCTAATTTTAGAATTTCATCATGTACACAGACTCACATACCACCGTGGAAGATATGATACCTTTTGTCTGAGATTAATTCCTTGCTCTATTTATGACCCAGCTTTCTGCTGACACACAACCTTGGAGGCAGTAGTTGTTGGCTTAAGTAGTTGTATGCATGCCACCTATGAGGGAGACCCAGGTTGAGTTCCATCCTCATATCTTCATTCTAGCTCATCCTTGGCTGCTTGTGTATTTAGGTAGTGAACCAGCAGATATATCTCTAGCTACATTTCTCATAAGACTAAATAAATTTATAAAAAATAAAATAATAAAAAGCTAAGTTTTTGTGATAAAGCAAGGCAACTTCAAAAACTGCATGGAAATACACTTTATCCTTTAACTCACCTTTTCCAATAAAAATTTAAAACATACTTGTACAATTTTTGAAAATATAAAACTATTTAGATTTCTAAACATTGTATTCTTTTAGGAGACGGAGAGAGAGAGAGAGAGAGAGAGAGAGAGAGAGAGAGAGAAATGCAGTGGGATGTGGAGGGATGAAGCTGAGAGAGAGTCAGGAACTCATTCCATAGCTCCTATGTGAATGGCAAGAACACAATTACTTGAGCTATCACCAATGTCTCTCAGGATCTTGCATCAACAGGAAGACATCAAGAACAAGCATTCCCATATGGATTTCAGGTGTCCCAACAAGTGGCTAGGCTGATAACTCAAAGTTACCCATTCCTGAAATATGACTATTGAATCACTATCAAAATAGAAACAAAATCCAAAGTTTTAAAATAATTTAAACACAACTTCATGCTATCAAAATTTTGAATTGATTTGAAATTGAAGGACAAACCAAATAAATAGACTAAGGACCATGTGTAAAACAAGATTATTGCCACAGACTATTCAACAGTTAAGATTGCTTTTTTCTCAGTGAGAGAGAAGCACTATAGTTGAGATTAGAATGAGTTTCTCAACATTAACACTGTTTACATTTGTGTCTGGTTAGCTTTTTGTTTGGGGAAGTTGCCTTGAGTATTGCAAGGCATTTGACAACAACCTTTGGTTTTCTGCGTTGGATGCCAGTAACACCTATCTACTCATTTATGACAACCCAAAAATGTCTCCAAATACTTCCAAGTATTCCCCTGGGGAGAAGTAAAGTTGCCTTCAGTTAAGAACCAGTTAATTAGAATACACAATATTTCTTTTGGCTGATGAAGAACTGACATATTAGCTTAGAATATTCTGGGAGAAAGAGAAATTTTCATTAGAGTACAAAAGCAAGAAAAAAATTCTATAAGCTATTTCGCATATTTGTTAAATCAAACCCAAATGCAAACCAGAAAAAAAAATACTTTGACATTCTCAGTAAAGATCAAATGAATTTGTTCTTTTTTTATGGGCAGTAACTTAACATAAAATCAATTTGTGCCACTTCTATATACTCTTTGGCTGACATTTACTATTGTACACTTCCTCATCCATTCCATTCTATTCTTATCCCTCAGCAAAACATACCTTCAATTCTGGGGCCTTCCATTTGTGTGTTGTCTTCATTATATAGACTTCTCCTTAACTCTGCCTCTGTAGTTTGATCTACGGTGTGAAACAAACTATTACCGCTAAGTAGCCTGTAATCTGCTTCACCCGTGTGATGTAAAAATGGAAAGAAAACTACATTCTGAACTAGTTGGTGTATTTGTTCTCTGCCCTGAATTTCAAATCCATCTTCTTCATCTTCCGAATCTAAGTTATCCATCTTGAAAAACAAGTGAAAAACTAACTATTATGACATAACATTGATATATAAAGACTACACTTCCATTTTCTTCACTTGTGACTTCAGTTTGGTTAGCAGGATCCCATTTGTTAGGTCCCGCAGGCACCAAGACTTCTCTATGCCTGAAGCTTCACCCTCCTCTGGGTGTTACTGAGACCTGCCCTTGGCCTAGTACTTGTCAGTCACAATTGCCCAGCCATGGTAATAGTTACCATTATTACCAACTTATAAACCACTAAGGTAGGTTTCATTTCACTCAAAATCAGCAAATGCTGTGAGCACTTACTGTGTCTGAAGCCCTGTCCTGTCTTTACTTTCTTCCCCATGCATGAGCCTAGTCTCCAACTTTAAGGAGGCTTACATAGATGGCATTCTACCAAATGTCATGCTGAGGTCATCTTGGTTAAGTGCAGCAATTTTCATTTTGATAAGCCCAGAAATTTCTGTCTTTTCTTCTCACATCATAGAAGCTCACTATGGCCCTTCTTTACCATTCATGAAGGGCCACTGTAGAATCTTCTAAATTTTATATCATAGTGACATCACCTTGTATTATAAAACTTGTTTCTACTAATCCAAAGCATTTCTTAAGAACTCTACAAAGGCTTGCCTTTTCATTTTTTCCTTATGAATATTATAAACACTGCAATGAAAACTACATGGAACATTAGAGGCACTTTTAAAACAGATGACATACCAGTATGTAGTATCATGTAAGTGCAGACAACTGAGAGACATTGATTACTTAATGGTTGGGAAACATTTCACAGAAATAATACATTAAAATTTGAATCTTCAAGGGACAAGTGTTTGATGTAACATTTAAACACTCTGTGGGGGGCCTGGCGTGATAGTGTAGCAGTTAATATTCTTGCCTTGAACGCACCAGGATTCCATAAAGGCGCTGGTTCTAATCTCAGCGGCCCTGCTTCCCATCCAGCTCCCTGCCTGTCGCCGGGATTCCATATGGGCGCTGGTTCTAATCCCAGTGGCCCTGCTTCCCACTCAGCTCCCTGCCTGTGGCCTGGGAAAGCAGTAGAGTGGGGCCCATAGCCTTGGGACCCTGCACCTGTGTGGGAGACCTGGAGGAGGCTCCTGGGTTCAGATGGGCTCAGCTCCAGCCATTGCGACTGCTTGGGGAGTGACCATCAGACGGAAGATCTTCCTCTCTGTCTCTCCTTTCTGTATATACACCTTTCCAATAAAAAACAAATAAATCTTTAAAACAAAACAAAACTAAACAATAACATTATGTGGAAAAACCTGCATCTTATCTGGAATGTGTGAGTTTGAATCCTGGCACCATTTCTGCTCCAGATTTCTGTTTCCTGATCTTAGGTTTGGCTGGAAACACCATCAGTTGTTAAGAGAATTTGGAGAGTAAACCAGTGATTATAGTACTATTTCTTTCTCTCTGCATTTCCAAATTTAACTTGTTAATTAATTAAAAGTTTGAGTATTTAAATAGATATATGTTTTTCTGCAGGTGGAAACTGGCGGTAGGATGGATATTGGTAAAAATAAACTATTTTAAACAGAAGGAAGAACTGGAAGATCTTTGGCTGCACTTTCTGGATATCATAGAAATGTTCAATTGTTTTCTTTCTTTTTTTTTTTGAAGATTTATTTTTATTATGTTTTTATTGGAAAGGCGGATATACAGAGAGGAGAGACAGAGAGGAAGTTCTTCCGTCCGATGATTCACTCCCCAAGTGAGCTCAACGGCCGATGCTGTGCCGATCCGAAGCCAGGAGCCTCTTCCGGGTCTCCCATGCGGGTGCAGGGTCCCAAAGCTTTGGGCCGTCCTCGACTGCCTTCCCGGGCCACAGGCAGGGAGCTGGAAGGGAAGCGGGGCTGCTGGGATAGAACCGGCGCCCATATAGGATCCCGGGCGTGCAAGGCAAGGACCTTAACCACTTGCGCCACTGCTCCGGGCCCACGACACTTTCTTAAAGGCAGTATGACAGACTTTGTTCAGGGAACGCACCACATAGAGGTTTTTAGTAAGAGAATGAGACTGAGCTCAGCTCTTGATACAGTACAGTGAGAAGCAGAAATTAGTAGCCAATGAGTAGAGTGGAGATGAGTGGACTGTAAATTCCTACAAAGGAGTATCTCTGATTAGGCGGATTCTTTCAAAACCAAGTGGATAGGATTGTCACTGAAGGTAGGCTAAGATAATCTGCTATAGAGGATAGGTTATAAAAGAGTTAATAAAAAGTGAAAGGAACAAGGTATCAGAAGTGTGGGTAGGGTGAAGAATTAATCAGATATTAATGGTGAGGGAGTTTTAGTACATTTTCTCTTTTATTCAAGGGAGATTTATTTATTTGAAAGGTAGAGTTACAGAGAAAGGAGGGATGGGGACAAAGGGGGCGGGGTTGTATCTACTAGCTCACTCCCCAAATGGCATCAATGGCTCAGACTGTGCCATGCTGAAGCCAGGAGTCTGTAACTTCATCCTGGTCTCCCACATGGGTAGCAAGAGCCCAAATACTTGGATCATGCTCTATTGTCTTCACCGAGTTAGCAGGATGCTTTATCAGAAGTGGAGCAGTCTGGACTCAAATTGACACTCATATATGGGATGCAAACCTTGCAGGTGGCAACGCAACAAACACACTGTGCCACAACACTGAGTTTTACTGAATTGACTCAGGAAGGTTCCTGCTGAAATTAGAGTAACTGTTCCATACAAGGTGCTTAAGTGCAGGAAGTAGCCAGCAGGACAACTAAAACTTGACCAAGGGAAAACATTTGGTTGTGCAATTTAATAATGTATGTGTCACTGGGCTCCACAAGAGGGTGGACACTCCAGGCCTTTATAATAGTCATTCCCAAACTTCAACGTGCTTAAAAATCACCCAGGGGAATTGTGGAGATGCAGAGTGTGATGCTGCTGGGCGGGGCCTGATAGGCTGCAGTTCTGGCACGTTCCCAACTGAGGTTGATAAGGTTGCACCTACACACAGTTTGAGCATCAAACTTGTCTAGCATTTAGATGGAATAAAGTAGATCAGAATTTGAATCAAGGCTTATTCATTTATTGCCATTTCATTTGGTGAGTTTAAGTGTTTTCTGAGCTATAAAACTGAAACGAAAGTACTTCCTTGGTGGCATCTTTGTGGTCATTCATTAAAATATGATTAAATGTTGTGGGTACTAAATGAAATGCTTAAAATACGCTAAGCCTTTTCAAAGGTGGTGACATTTATTTTTAGCTATAATGTTATTGCATTTAATAGTACTGCATTTCTTTAGATGATACATACAATAGTGAAGTGATTTTTGTTCTAAAGTAAATCAGATTCCATAATGCACTTATTTTATTCTGTTAGCTGAGGCAAAGGATCTAGAAGTACTAGAAAGGACAGCAATACCTTACAAAATGAATGAGTGCCCTTGAAGCGCCGAGCTTTCAGAAAAGGGGCAGCTTTCATCCTATCAAATAACATTAAGCTTGTCAGATCAAAACATGTGCAGAGGTAGAGCGACGGCAGACAAGAGTCTCATGACAGGAAGACGCAATTTTACAATTTTTTGTTTAAAAGAGCGAAGGAATAGAAACCCGAAGTTTAATTAATAATGACATAATCCTATATCACAGGATAGAAAATTAGAGGAGTGTTCATTATTTCCTAAACTGTGCCTTGATAGCCATAGTCATTTTTATCTGTTTTTTTCTTCCTGCTGCTTTTTGTCTTTTCCAACCTCATAGCGCCCTCTTGTGTTTATAGTGGGCATGGACTTTTCCTTTGTGTGTGTACTCTACTGCCTTACCTCATACTTGTATTAAAGTGCTGACAACTTCTTTGTATGTATTTCTCAGACACCAAATCGAGATTAAAGCGTTTTGTGGTCTTGACAAGTTGCAAGAGAAGTAAAAGAAGGAATTTTCTGAGTCAAGTGCCAATATTTGTTTAAAAACGATGTGTTTGCTCTTCATTTTTTCTCTTTTGTTGTAAATGTAGTGATTACGTTACAGAAAATGCCTATGTGAAAGCAATATTATTTTATCAACCTATTTAGAAGCTATTGACAAAGTCTGCAGTCTACATCACTAAAATTCCTTCATCATGTGTTGAACATGTACAATTTACCATGCAAAGCTTGAGTAAAGAATTAAAAACATGCCACCTAAGATTCCATTTCTCAGTGCGCGCGTGATTTCTGCCCACGGTGATTGCTCCCCGTTTGGGAACTGGCATCATTTCGCCTGTGGACTGAGAGGCGTCGACTTGGCTAGTGCTTCCTGCATTTGAGTGGTAGTGAATTCATCGGGCATTGTTCAAAGCTTGAGGAAGTTACCTGGGAATGGCAGCCAGGACTTAATACTTTGAACGCTGCTAGTGTGTAGTTTAGTGATACATACAGAGGTATGCCTCCTAAAGTGTTTGATATGGAATAGTAGTCTATGATTGCATGATTGAAAAAATAATCACAATTCAATGAAATTTAGAATATCACATGAACGATATGCAAATACTACCCCTGTCCTTTAAAATAAGAAAGTGATTTTTAGTTGTTTAGAGAAAGGTATTGCTTTTACAACATAGATATGTTGATAATAGACAGAAAAAGAAGTGATCATAGCATGTGAGAATACAGAGTAAGATTTAGAATAATGAAAGAAAATGCAAAGCCAGGTTGAAAATACACTCTACTAAGAGCATATGGATTATTTAATGAAATAGTACAAGATAAAACTGAAAACGTTGTTTAGAAGGAGCATAACAAGTAGGAGCTTGAGTTGTGGCTTAGAATTTCAAACTTAATGTGCGCTCATCTAAATGCAACCCACTGAAAGCTTTTGGGTAGCACTTATTTAAGATGTATCTTTACATCAAATGAGGAGTACATTGGAACTAGAGGAAGTAGAGAAGATAACGGAATGAGTCACTGCCGTGCTTGGGAACATGATTTTGGGGTAAGGCACAGGAAACAGGGTTCGGGGTGGGGAGGATCTCGCTGAGTAGGCA